CGTGTCAGAAGGTAGACACAGGCGTGGTAGAGCTGTAGAGAGTGGAATCAGAGTAAATATTTTGTGGATTTCCTCTTACATTGGCCTTCAGATGTGTGACAGAAGTGATGAATTGAGAGTATATCACATTCTTGAACTGTCAAGATATAGTCTGAAGACAGTACGAAAACAACTTCAACTAAATTTCATTGGAGGGAAGTTCCTTGTTGTCACTGAGGAACTCCTAATCCAATGAATTATCAGTCTTCCCTCTCCTTGAATCGATTCAGTCGACCCCAATGAAAGTGAGTCACTCTGTCTGACTGTTCTGGGTTATCCCAGGTTCTCTACACATATGCTACTATGTATGATAATCTATGTAACTGTATTTATGTATACCTGAATAAATTTACATACTTAATCTTGATTGTCAATCATTCCTAAGGGTTTAGCGCTCCTCCAATGGATGTATAGATTACTATTAATAAACAATATACTTCTAATGTGTTTAAAACTATTATATTTTGTTTCAATCATGGCATAAATGTAAAATAGTCTGCTAAACCAGAGGTAGAGAACAAAATAAACAATCTCTTAATATAGAAGAGTTAGTCCTAGCAAAAATTTTTATTTGTATTTAGGAAAACGAATTGTTGTGAAAGGGATAACTACAATATAATTTTCTGGTGGTTCAGCGCTCTATATTTTCGTGTTTCATGCATAATATGAGAAATTATGTGCCTGCGGTTCACAGGCATTAACCTGAATTCTTACATGCATTTCATTTACTGATGGTAGTTGTAGGTAGGTGGGACTTAATAGTAGTAGTAGTAGTAGTAGTAGTAGTAGTAGTAGTAGTAGTAGTAGTAGTAGTAGTAGTAATAATAATAATAATAATAATAATAATAAAATAATAATAATAATAATAATAATATAATAATAATAAATAATAATAATAAATAATAATAATAATAATAATATAATATCTTTATTTCTATATATGTACAAGGTATACAGGCCTAGCTGACATCAATGACATATTACTGTATATAAAACCGCTTGTTATGCAGAGCATTTCCTGCAAATTAGGTCAGTTTTGTTCCAGGATGCGACCCACACCGGTCGACTAACACCAAAGTACCCATTTTATACTGATAGGTGAACATGGACAGCAGATATCTTAAGGAAACACGCCCTAATGCTTTCCAGCCATACCGGGGACTCGATCTCCGGACCTCAGTATATGAGCTGAGTGCACTAGCGATCCAGCTACGAGACACCTTAAGGCGCACCTGAGGTACAGTGGGTCGCAGCATTGCACCTCCTTCGCCGCCAGTCATTCCAAACCACACTCACACAAAACTGGACCTGTCAATAATTATGAATTAACATTTAATAAAACCAGTATCTCTTGTAAATTAGGTGTGGAATGTATATGAAATGAATGACCTGACGCGGTGTCCCGTGGCCTGGACCCCTGTTCCGGACCCTGACCGCTTCACAGGGTAAGGGTCCGGCTTCGATTCCCGGAGAGAGTAGAAACAATTGGCGCGTTTCTTTATACCAGTTGTCTATGTTCCCCATCAGTGAAATGGGTACCTGGGTGTTAGTCGACTGGTGTGGGTCGCATCCTGGGACAAAACTGACCTAATTTGCCCGAAATGCTTCTGCATAACAAGTGGCTTCTATATAGTAGTATGTCATTGATGTCAGCTATGGTCTGTATACCTTGTACATGTACTTGTAGAAATAAAGATATTGACTAGGAACATTGTTGGGTTCACAATGTTTGCTACTATTATGTAACATTTTTATTTATTCACCAATTATATAAACATTCTGTATAAAAGACTTACCACTTATTTTGTGGGTAGAACACCTCCCTAACCAATGCCTAACAGAAAGTTGGCCAACCCTGAAGACTACTGAGAGAGAGAAGGTGTACTTAACAGTTTATGTGCAGCCCAGGAGATTTGGCGTCTTATTTTTCATTCGTACAGCCTGGTTATAGCTGTTTTTCCACAATATTTATGCTTTTTCATTGCGGAGGACGTTAAAGAAAGTTTTCATTCTTGATTCCAGCCGATACCACCATTTTAGGCCTCGATGACGACCGATTACACAAGACCATTTTAGAACTAGAGATACCGATGTATTGTCAGCGTCTCCTGATATTCCTCCGCGACGACACTGGTCTGCCCCCTTCCTCAAAATTTCTACAAGGATCATCTCAGAGTCACAGTTTTACAAACATTGTATCTAATTACATCTATATACTCTACATTCAAGAAAATTATAAAAAAAAATTCACACATAACATGTAAAATTTTTATAATGGTCTTAAGGGTACACAAATGATACTGACACAGATATTATGTGCATATAATATTTATGTGAGTTTTTTCATTGGGATGCATGTTAATTTACGTTTACGTATGTGGATCTTGTCCAGGTTATTTAATGATCCTGGTTGTCATCGATGACCGTCTGTCTAATCCTCTCGCCCAGAATGCGACCCACAGTAGTCGGCTAACACCCAGGTACCTATTTACTGCTAGGCGAACAGAGGCAGTATGTTTATCCCTTAAACTGTCCAAACAGATCTACGTTCACATGCGTAGTGCTCCAAAAGTAGATCTATGTTTTTTTTACATATTTTCAAATATAACAAAAAAAAAAGTATATCAAACTCTTAAAGAAATATATACAATATCTCGCGGATCGAACCACGCTCACTGATTTTTACCCAAATTTCCAGTTAGAGTTTAAATATTAAGATATTACGAAGACACCAATGGAAATAAATCACTTCTCTAACTTTATTTTTTTTGGGGGGAGGAGGGGGTTATCCTTGGTAATTTGCGTATGATAATTTACGTATGATAATTGTACTTAAGTGTACTTGTACTTAAATAAACTAGTCTTGTAGTGAGCCGAGGCAGCTACCAACGGAACCAAGAGACACCGTAGTTGAACATAAATATGATTTTACCGGGATTATTAATTCGGAGGGTTGGTAACCCTGCGGACTACCAGATGCACAATATCACACTGTTATGACAAGTTCTGCAAACTGCAAGTTAAGCAATGAAGGTGTTTGTTTTAAGAATGTGCTATTACCAATAACATATTTAGCAGCAATGATCAAATCTGGAGAAGAGTGGATTTGCATCACATATACAAGAATAATGTTGGTACCGTGTCATGGAAATATCTGCTGGGAAAACTAGTTAAGTATTTTAGTGATGCTAGTTTAGTACAATCATAACAGTGCATCAGTGCACAATCTAAGTCATAAAAAGACGAAAAAAAATAATTCTTAAGGTGTTGGGTCTTGTCAGTACCAGAGCGGCGGTGATCCTCGCCAGTGTAAGGCCACAGGAGACACAGTACCAGAGCGGCGGTGATCCTCGCCAGTGTGACGCCACAGGAGACACAGTACCAGAGCGGCGGTGATCCTCGCCAGTGTGACGCCACAGGAGACACAGTACCAGAGCGGCGGTGATCCTCGCCAGTGTGAGGCCACAGGAGACACAGTACCAGAGCGGCGGTGATCCTCGCCAGTGTGACGCCACAGGAGACACAGTACCAGAGCGGCGGTGATCCTCGCCAGTGTGACGCCACAGGAGACACAGTACCAGAGCGGCGGTGATCCTCGCCAGTGTGAGGCCACAGGAGACACAGTACCAGAGCGGCGGTGATCCTCGCCAGTGTGACGCCACAGGAGACAGTACCAGAGCGGCGGTGATCCTCGCCAGTGTGAGGTCACAGGAGACACAGTACCAGAGCGGCGGTGATCCTCGCCAGTGTGACGCCACAGGAGACACAGTACCAGAGCGGCGGTGATCCTCGCCAGTGTGACGCCACAGGAGACACAGTACCAGAGCGGCGGTGATCCTCGCCAGTGTGAGGTCACAGGAGACACAGTACCAGAGCGGCGGTGATCCACGCCAGTGTGAGGCCACAGGAGACAATCAATATCGAAAGTTGAATTTATAGTTGAGCGAACTATGCTTAGAGAAAGACTTTTTCCTTTTCTAAATGCCTTTCAATGAGATGCTTTGATCCAGGTAATTAGAGCTCTCCAGCCCCCTTCCTCGAATTACACCTGATTACCTATCGTTCTCTGGACTCTTTAAAAGTAATCTCTGCTCATAATACAGTGCCATATTAAATTACATAACAAGCATAATCATCAAAAAAATAATTGGAAAATAGCCTTTCATGATATTTAGCGAAAAGAATTAAACTCTTTAGGTTATCTTTGAAAAAAATTCTTTCAAAATATATAAAAATTTACTGCAGCTGCAAATAATTCTTATATATGTCGTGCCGAATAGGTAAAACTTGCAATTTTGGCTTATATAGCAATAAGCCAAAATTTGTGTATGCAATAACTTCGCAAAAATCATTCTGAACCTAACGAAAAAATATATTTCATTGTGTTTGTTTGCTTGTTTATCATTAAATTATTGTAAACTTATCAAACATATTTATTTGGATTAAGCTAAATTAAATTGCGCTCTTTATAATAAGGTTAGGTATATATATATATATATATATATATATATAATATATATATATATATAATATATATATATATATATATAATATAAATATATATGATATATATTATAATATATATATTGTAATTATATTTTATATATATATATATATAAATATATATATATATATAATAATATATATATTTTTTATATATATATATATATATATATTTAATATATATATATATATATTATATAAATTATGTGATTCACTTCATTTATTGTAGTTACAATTTAAATAGTATTTATAACTTGCAATAAACTGTGCAATCTATTTGCTTCATGAATTAAGACAAATGTAGAGACTGGTGTGTAATTATGCAGGTTTGTGCCCGCAACGCACGACTTCTCAGAGTTGACCAGATAAAGTAGAGGTCACCAGATGAAAAACGATCGTTCTTTGTTGCAAATCGTTGTAGAGATTTAGATTTTTGAAGGATATTTAAAAGGCTTGAGAAAGATGTTCTGGAGCCATCCAGAAACTGTTGTCTTTTATTTCAAACTGACATTGTTAATAAAAACATAAAATCCTCAGGTTTAATGAAACTGCATCTTATATCGGAGAAAATTCCCTATTTTGCTAGTGTATTGTTGTTCAAAAACGATAAAGGCAAATATAAAGTAGTTTGTAAATTTGACAGTAATTTAGGTTTGCTCTGAAGTTCAGTGATGCTCATCGTGGAAGATCTTGACATGAACTTTATGTATATTGGGAGCCTGCAAGACGACGCGAGGATCTGGGATATGACGGTCAACTGGGTAACCCATTGGCCGCTTGTCTGGGTACTTCTCTCCATGGATACCACACTGACTGTGGGTGGCGGCCAAGTCTTCAGGATTATCTACGGTCTTATCTTCGTCACCGTCAGACACTCCCACAAACAAGGAAAACTCCATTCCTGAGGTTGTTCCCTTAGGTAGGAGCAGTCTGTTGGGGATACCACAAGATCGCTCAAATTCGTGGAGGTCAAGTTTACTATGGCTTTCTACGGCCTGGTCAGCTTTCCTCTTTAGTGAGTCAAAACTTGGCCTGTCAGGAACAGTCACTGAAGAGTCAACGGACTTGCGAACAATGTGGTTAGATCCAGGAGCCACTGAAAAGAATAATTAAAAAGGTTTAACTTTAAATCATATAAACATTATTGTTTAGTTAAATCCATTTTATATATACGTTGAAGTATTTAAAATATAATTTCTACAATCAATAATTTAATATCAAAATATAACCATTTATTACTATATAGTGTTAATAATCAAGATATACTTACATGATTTATAAAACTTGTCCATTTCAATGCAGTGCCATCGACCTTCCTCGAAGGAGAAGAGGACTCCGTTGTTGTCATAACGAGGGCACAGGAAGATGCGGATGGTACCAAGGACTTTGTTACCATTGTTGTTAGTGATGTCAATATTGTAAGAAAATTCTTGGTGGTTTAGACGAGGTACTATAGCATGGATCTCAACATCTTTCACTTTGTCAGATTTATCTACAGCATTGATGAGACTGAACTCGAAATTGTCGAAGTAGGTCTTCAGTTCTCCATCAATGGCAATGTTATCAACGGAAACACCGGAGAACTCGAGTTCTTCTTGAGTGTAAGGTGGAAGAGTGTCCTTGTGTTCTTTGAAAATGTTATCTATATATTTATGAAGTCTGAAGAAGCTTGGGTCTCGAGTGGCAGTCTCGAAATGTTCCATGACACCAGGAGGAAAGTTGAACTTGCCGTGAGGATCACCTTGGCGACCAAGCATTATGTGAGCCGTGTTGTGCAGTGAGCCATAATACTGTGGGTTGGCGCTGTATGCAGAAGATTCAATGATTTCTCCCAGAGTGTCGATGCCATGATCATTTTTAATATCGATCTTGTTACCACTCCTGTCGACTATGTAGCCATGAGCGATGGCATCGCGAATTCGACTTTCTAAGATGACCATATCACGCACGTTAGCCACACCATCAACATCTTCAAAGTGTACATCGTCAGGGCGAGCTGGGAACTCTCCACCATATTTGTAGTTAGTATGTGGAGCAAATCCTTCATGGATAACATCGTCCCAATGAAGTTCGTCAACAACATCCAGATGGTTGGAGAGACGCTCAGCATCAAAGCGGGCAGTGAGTTGGTGGTGAGCCCAGAAGAAGAGTTCTCCCTTGCGGTCCAGATGATAGCCGTAAGAGTCCTTCCACCAGAAGGGGAAGTCCATATGCCAAGTAACGTGGTGAATGTTTAGGCCAATGTCCTCACCAAAGTACGCTACTCGTTGTTCTTTGTTCTTTTTTGTTCCAGTGAACTTCATCTCGAATTTGCCTGGAGTTTGAGTCATCTTGGCAGTGTAGGCCTTATTGATAACTTCACTGTTGGTGAACAGGTGAGGAGTAACTTCATAGAGTGGAGGAAGAACAATTCCCTGTCCCAAGTCTGAGTGGATGACAGCCACATAAAGCGCGTACGCGAACTCTCCCTCGTTGAGGCGCTCACGGAAGTAAGCAGCGTTGTGAACGAAGCAAGACCAGGTCTTGCAGTGCATGAGAACATCAAAGAGCAGGAGAGCTTCTTCACGTTGACGGGTGTTGAAAAGTGAGAACCAGTGATGTTGCTCTAATACTCTGTGGTCTTTAATTTCCTGTATCAGCGCATGAGCTGCCGCACCATCATCGGTGTACTGTGAAGAGTCAGCTTCCGGGTCAAAGGTGTCAGAAAAATCTTTCAAGTCACTAAAGTGAAGGTGGTCATAAATATCATCCAGCAAGTGATTGACATCCTGTTGTTTCTTGGCCAAAGTCACACCTGTACAAGGAAAATATATTGATTATTAACTATTTAAATCAAAAACTATTTGTAATGCAAAACGTATAGTAATAGTAGTGAATGGACCAAAAATAATATTTTAGCTCCTTTATGTTAATTTTGAAAACTTAGTTCCTCTTATATTTTGCAGTTTTTAAATCCGTCTTTTATGAGGAACTCTATCAAAACATTTCTTAAGATATATATAAATGCAATCCTCCTAATATGTCACACTTGCACATAAAATTTGCAGCCCATTTCTAAGTTATGTTAGTTTAGGTGGCAATGGAAATACTAAATAAAAGACGATAAAACAGTTAAACCACGGTGCGGGTGGGGTTTAAACCTATGGCAAATGAGTTCTAAAACTCCAGGCCATTACATATGAGGGTTTACTCACTCTCCTGGAGATTCCAGACGTACTTACCAGGGGGGTCAAGTCCCTCCAGTTCTGTAGTTTCTTTCCGATAGTGTTATTACGATTTCGTGAGTCATGATAAGATATTCTGCCCCTATGTCACATTTTAACTATTCAAGGCTCCGTCAACAGTCACCCATTTGACTGTTTTTGCAACAGTATCATGACGGCTGTGGTTAAGAGGACGAGCTGTTTAATAACAAATTAGATTCGATACACATAATTTTCCAGACAGAACCCCGATTACTTTTCTCCCAGTTAATACGTATTTATTCTTTAAGTGTTAAATCAACCCAGACAGCGTTTTTCAATATTTTTAACAGTGTCCACCAAAAGCGCCTGTATTGAGAAGGATCTTTTCAAAAACTGCAACAATACATATAAGTATATGTCATCTTCCAATTGTATAAACAGTTGAGCTGTCAGTCGGAAACTTTTAAACAAAAAATCAAAGTGGAAAACATCATTCCTCTGCACATTATGGTGTTAGATGATCCACACGAGTAGTATAAGGCTATTAAAATGCCGGGAGCAAGAGACTAATAACCCCCTTCTCCTATGTATATATTAATGAATTTAAAAAGGAGAAGCTTTCGTTTTATTTTTGGTCCACACTGCCTCGGTGGGATACTGCCAGTAACTAGAGAGAATGTAAGAATATTAGGGAAACAATCCCCTTAAACTTACCGGGTAAAGTTTACGATAGAATTATTACGGAAAGTTTTAAAGTAGTAAAATCTGGGTGTAGGTAGGATAGGTAGGGGTCGTAACAGGACCTATTACAGGGAAGGAAAATATGAGGATTTGAGCTTTAGGGGCTTGAGCATCCAGCAGCCTTGTATTATCGTGTTAGATATTAGTAACTGGAGATAAGTAGTTTTTTAATGGACGTGCTGTTGGAATGCAAGCAAGGTAAGGTTGGTGAAAGGATTCAGGGAAACCAGTTAGTTAGACTTGAATCCTGGAGGTGGGAAGAGCGGTGCCTGCACTCTGAAGGATGGATGAAGCAACAGCTCCATCCAACCTTCAGAGTTGGAGTGACTTAGTGAATGAGTTTTTTCTCTGGATAACCCTACATCGGCTGGACATGGCCCCTGAGGAAACACTTACCTGGGTCATCACTGAGGAAGTGATCGTCACTGAAGCTGGGCCAGGCAGCGGCCGCTGCTATTAGTGAACACAGGATCAAGAGCTTCATGGTGGCTGTGATGGTGACACTGAGGCAGCAGCTGCCTTATATACCCACTGACACCCAGCCACTTAACATCAGTATCTCACTGACGCTTCTAATCTCTAACACTTGTAAGTAAAATCTTATCTGTCGACTTCGTTCTTATAGTTATAATGACTTACTAATATACATTTGATAGTAACTTTCCTCATTGTAACTTCACTTTAAAAAATATATAATTCATTAATTATTTTATATATATATATTATAATATATATATATATTATATATATATATATATATATATATATTATATATATATATATATAATTATATATATAATATATATATATATATATATATATGTCGTGCTGAATAGGTAAAACTTGCGATTTTGGCTTAAATATCAACTCTTTTCTTGCCGAATAAGACAAGCGAAAGTTTGTGTATGCAATAATTTCGCTAAAATCATTCTGAACCTAACGAAAAAAATATATTTCATTGTGTTTGTTTATTATTAAATTATTGTAAACTTATCTAAAATATATTTAGTTGGATTAGGCTAAATTAAATTGCGCATTTCATAATAAGGTTAGGTAAGTTTTCTAAGGTCCTTTTGGAACAAAATTATTAATTTTTACATTAACATAAATGAAAATAATATATCTTTATACGTATAAGAGAGATTTTTACAAAGGTCTTAATTTTAAATAACTTAAATTTACAGTGGTTGTTCTGCATACTGTGATATCACCTGTTTACTGTGATCTTATTGTACATATGTTCGCCTGCTTGACAACTGTTAAGCATGTATATTATATATATATATATATATATATATATATATATATATATATATATATATATATATATATTAATATATATATATATATATATATATATATATATGTACAATACCTGCATTCATACAATCATTGATGGATTCATTCTTGTTTTGTTTGACCTGGCTAATTCCCGATGAAATTAAAACTCCTGTGTATCATTGTGTTGTCCTGAAACACATGGGAAATTACATCCACTGCCATTAACAACGTCTTCCTTCTAGTGTTTGCCAAAGTGACCGCTGGAAGCCGCCATGTAAAATGTGCTAAAAAGATTCAACCAAACAAAAGTTGTTTGGAATTCTTCAGTACACTTGATCTACTTAAACCAGTGTTTGGGAGACACTGAGTATATTTCACTAGTCTACGGTATACCCTTAGTTTTGAACTAGATTACATGCCACTAACATAATTCTTGAAGACAAAAATCATTATGTGATTTGGATGTCCGCGATGCCTTGTGCTCTCAAAGTGCCTTATTCAAATTAATTTTTTTTTGATGATTGCGCCCTCCTTTGAAGCCGAGAATCAAGTAAACACGGTATCTAGGTATGCACTCAACCTTCGACCAGAAGATGGCCAACGGGAGGGAGAGAGAGGTTTGCATGACAACACAGATAGCATTACTCGCCTTCCTATCTCCCCGTATTGCCTCCCGCTTTATAGCGGAGATGATCCACCCAGCAAACTTGAGAGTTTCTTTTGGAATTGAAAGTTCACAGTTAATGAAAGGAGCAAAGCAGTGGAATACCCTTGAAAACTCATCTGAACTCATCATTAAGGACAATGCCCCTAGTGAGAACAATGCCTCTAATAAGGGCAATGTCTCTAGTGATGATAATGCCTCTAGTATGGACAGTGTCTCCTGATGCCTCTAGTGATGACAGTGCCTTTAGTGATGACAATGCCTCTAGTGATGACAGTGCTTTTAGTGATGACAATGCCTCTAGTGAGGACACCATGCTGAGCACCACCTTCTACTAGCTGAGCCTCATTCTACCTTGGTCACATCAACCTTCATGACATTCACATTGGTGTAATCCTTCTCCTAGCCTCACCTATCTTCCCCAAAGAAAGTTGTCACTGTGGCAGCGCATCCGCAGACCAATTTGGTCACCATGGTCTCATTTGCTTTATATCAGAATGAATGCAAAACGTCATGAGGTCAGGGATATCAAGCCTTCCTACAGCCCTGTTCAACGCGATGGAAATTCAAGGTAGGTAGGCCAGGTGGCAGTTTGAAGAGGTGCCGGATTACGCAACAGACACAGTAGATACGTACCTAGGGGGCCACATCATACAGGCTGACTGACTCACGAAATCGTAATGACACGATTGCAAACAAACCATACCACGGGTGGGGATAGAACCCGCGATCAGAGAGTCATAAAACTCCAGCCACTGGGCCAGGTCGACTGTTATACAAGCAATATTACTGAAGGCAAAGAAAAAAAATATGAAAAACAAGTGAAATGCAAAAATGACAGTTTTTCTTATGCTGAAGAACCTAAAGAACTGATACAACAATCTCTACAATTTCGAAGTCTGAGCCAACTTATCCAGTCAGTCAAGGCTGATACCAGTGAACATCTGAGCTTCTGAATTTAGCCGACCATTGCGAAGGGAAACGAGACGAATGAAATGCTTATTTACAGAGGCAACACTCATTTTCCCGAGCCTAGTCTCAGCGGTAAAATTTCCCTGAAATTATTTATCTCTACACGTATCCTGTAACATCCGACTTTCACGATAAGTAGTATGTTAATGATTCAAATCGCATTCTGGACGTAGGCCTATTCATACGACAAATCGATAAACCTGATCTTCTGGCTGTCTAGGCTATACAACACAGAGATAGTTATTAGGGCTAATGTTGCCATTAGGCCTCTATTAGCTAGGAAATTATGGTGTTGGGAACAGTAAGCTAGTAATTTACGGTTTTACTAAGGGTTTTATGAACCGTAAACTAGTAAATTACGGGTTTATAAATTAAGACTTTATACGAACGTCTTTTCGAACTTATACTCACCAAACAACACAGTGGCTGATGTAGCAGACACTGACAGTTTCCACCATAAACACATCATCTATCAAAGACCTCACTACGAAACGCAGCCCCACACCTCTAACTTCTACAGCAGGCGTCTACACTATCCCCTGTGGGTTCTGTCCCAAGAAATATGTAGGCGAGACAGGCAGAGATCTTGCAGTCCGCTTGAATGAGCATCGAAATGCCTCTAACAGAGACGATGTAAGGTACGCCTGTGTCCTCCACAGACACTCCACGGGACATTTGATGAACTGGAATGAGGCACAACTCGTTCTCACCGAACCAGACCTCAGACGCCGACGGTGCCTAGAAGCCTCACTAATCGCAGTCACCGACACTATAGAACGCAACACTGGAAACTACAAAATTTCAAAAACATTGGCATACATGATACTTAAGCACCACCAACCCAACAGCACAGGAGTCACATGATTTCATCGTCTACCCGTCCTCGTCGTAGGCAGAGGTTGTTTTGATAAGGACCTGCCTCGCATGGGCCAGTAGGCCTTCTACAGTGATCCTCCATTCTTATGTTCTCATGTTCTTATGACATTCCTCAGGTCACGTGCGTCACATCTCACTCTCCGCCTATATATATAATGCCTTTCTACCTCTGTATGTTAGAAGTGATCAAGGTCCCAGGACCGAAACGTTTTCTAATAAATATGTCATAGTGTTTGCTTACGTGTCTTTCTAAACCAACTGACAGTGTTGAACAACACAGTGGTTGATGTAGCAGACACTGGCAGTGTTGAACAACACAGTGGTTGATGTAGCAGACACTGGCAGTGTTGAACAACACAGTGGTTGATGTAGCAGACACTGACAGTGTTGAACAACACACTGAAGATGACACAGCCACTTCAGTGGACGTGTCTATAAGAATACACAGAGAGCCACAGAGAAACTACAATTAAAATATTTCACATTACCAACAAAAGATGATATTCTTGCAATTTTTCCTTCCCAAGTAGAATACAATATTTTTGTGCTTTATGAAAAAAAATTACTAAACAAATTTATCTGAATAGGATCCTCAAAAAAACGTACGGAAGGTGACGTCAACATATGTCGTTGAGGAAGATTTTTTTTTTATTATTTAAGTCTCCATTTAAGTCAATATCAGTAAAATAAATCATTAACACCGATATCTGCAGTAGCTTTTAAGTGGAATGTTGGCAAATAACGACATCAGGAATATACATAACTTATTATGCTGACTTAAGTGTGTATGTTTAACACAAACGTAAGATTTTTTTTATCACCACAAGAGATATACACCAAGAGTTGTATGTCTCTGTATATATACACACACCAAGAGATGTATGTAACTGTATATACACCGAGAGTTTACTTTGATTCCTATTTTCGGGATTACAGTATTCTTGACTAGTAGTGAGCAGGTTATGTGCGGCCGTAATGACCCGCGTTTAGTCAATAGCTTCAAATCCCATTAACCAAAGAACCAGCTCTGAAGAGGATGTTCATTTATGGACAATTCTTGCAGAACAGGAGCTAAGAAACTATCTAAATCGAATCGAAATGCTTTTCTGGAGCTCACCCCAGGACTAATTTTAATCACTGTCTGGGTATCTACGAGAGTTCCTACACAACACCAAAGAAGTATCGGAAACTATCCTAAATACTTGTAATAATTCTTTTCTAAAGTCTGATTACTCTTTTTTATAAGTCGTGTGGCATTTAGGTAGCATTAAATGTTCTTTAATTATTTTTTGTCAGTTACATATAATTGCAGAATAACATTACTGGATTAGTTATGTCTTAGGTTAATAGAATACTCGTATTAAGGGAGAGTACCGGCGAATAAAAAAAAAAAAAGGGATAATCATCGACACCATGTCCAGCCCTTCTATGGTAGGGTAGGTGCCTGAGCCCGAGTTTGCAGCTCACAAGCCTGTCATTCCCATTAGCCCCCTTGGGGCGGTGATGGCAGACCAGAGAGGCCTAGCTTGTGGCTAGACCTGGGGACAGTTGATCCCAAAGATGAGAAGGTACATGTGCCTCCTCCCATGAGAGACTTAGGTCTCAGACACTCCCTAAAGAGGGAGCCAAGGCCGGGCCACCACTTGGAAAAGGCCCGGGCCGGGAGAATACCGGCGAATCAAGAAGGGATAATCACTGGGCTACTCAAGTGGCATGTAGTGACCGTTGACAACTGAGAACAATAATGTTCAAGTGTCTTGT